ACATATGTACAGACTTTGATAAAATGACTTCTTCAGGCAAAGCATTCCACATCCTTATTGTACTTTTTTTGTCATTCTTTCTTTAATTGAGGCAATTGTTTATGGTGGTACAGAATGAAAAGAGGGAGAAAGGCAATATGTACATAGTAGGGTCATCATAACAATGCTCAACTTCCCTTAGATATGCCCGCCTCATTTTTTATTAGGTAAACAAGCTTAAAACGTTCTGAGGTGTTATGTGTAGGCTCTCTAATGCCGTTATATTTCTGTGTATGTGTTATCAGGGTGAAATCACATTCGGCATGTGTGCTTCGATGTTGACTATCTCGTCCAGTATGCGATTGTCTATGTATGCTAGTCTCGCCTGACACTTTGCGTCCTTTATTGCTGTCTTGCATTGCAACTATCTAGTTGTGTGGTACACTGTGCGGTTTATGCGACATGAAAAGCTATGTGGTTGGTACCGTGTGTGCTGTGAGTTTGCTATTGATAGCGGTCAGTGGGGCATGAGATATTGGCTTAATTAGGTCCGTTATACTGAAGCGTGTCCTAGCGCTTACACACACAGAAATTGATGAGGCTCAGAGTGAGTGAACATAAACGTGAGAAAACCCAAACTGGCATTAAAACAAGTTAGCTATACATACTGCCGCATTCCCCGGTCCCCTCCCTCCCCTGCAAAATATACCCCAGGTGTATGCACAATTGAGTCTCTCGAGATGGGAGATAGGAGTTTTACATATTATGCTGCTGTTAAGCCCACTAATTGGCCAGTCTCTCGGTTACCATGCGGGGCTATAGTATGCAACTGTAAGATTACTTGCATGATTAAGTCCAAGTTAACAAGTCTCTCGTCTGGCACAATAGCTGCTCAACTTCTATGGTTGGTCTTTTCCAGAAATAAGGTCACACTCTCCGTCCGGGAGTGGGTTGTGGGAGGTCCCCCCCCTGCTCCAGACTCCATGCAAGGTTGGCATACCTGTGCTACCGACCCGGGATCTCAGTGAGGCCGAGTCTCTCCCATTTTGGGCGCTGCGATAAGGCCTGATGGACATTCGCTGCCCACAGAGTGTGGCCTTTTGGCGTTGTAGACGATGCCTCAGAGGGGGTTTCCTCGTGACCTTTGGTCCAGATGGGCTCTTAGTGTGAGTGGTGGAGGTTTGGTGTATCGTTGCGCCCGGGATGGGTCTGCACCGCTCCATATGCCTGCACCCCTCCGCTATTCTACCTTGTGTGGGGGTAGTTGGGCAGCTTGTAGCTCCAGCTGTTCCCAGAAGCGGCTGAAAAGGGCGTCTAGCCACTCTTGCAAGGGCTCAGAGGGCCTCTGTGGTGCTTTGTCCGGCGTCCACCATTTTGTAAGCGTGACTCAGGTTGCAGGGGACCGCGGTGGCCTGCGGCTGATTGTGAGCCAGGTTGGTGTGGACCGGGATAACCCCCACTGGTCGCAGGCACTGCATGATGTGAGCCGTGTGTGGAGGCGTCAGGAGAACGGCTGTCTCCCCCGCACCATCCGCATGTGTAGGCCGCATGTCGGAGCTGAGCAGGTTTGGGTGCAGTATCCTCGTGTTTGGTATCTTGTGGTTAGTCGCGGGTTCCGGGGTTGACTACGAGCCCGTGGGTATCTGGGTGCATCGTGTATCCGTGGCTAGGTTGGTTAGAAAGACTTTTACCCCGGGAGCTCTTGCTGTCTGTGACCGCTCGGCGGTCAGGCCACGCCCCCCTCCTTATTGTACTTACGTTAAAAAAAACACCTTTCCTTTGCCTTAGACTAAATCTCCTTTCTTCCAGTCTAAACTCATGACCTCATGTCCTATGTAAAGTCCTGATTGTGAATAGATTTCTAGACAATGGTTTGTATTGGCCTTGGATCTATTTGTGTAATGTTATCCTATCCCCTCTGAGGTGCCATTTTTTAAACTAAAGAAAAAAAAATTTGTTAACCTTTCTTCAAAGCTAAAATGTTCTATTCCTTTTTAAATTTTGTAGCCCGCCTCTGAATTCTTTCTAGAGCCGTAATGTCCTTCTTCAGAACAGGTGCCCAAAATTGCACAGCATATTCAAGATGTGGTCTTACAAGGGATTTATAAAGAGACACAATTATATTCTCATCCCTAGAATTTATGCCCCCTTTTATACAGGAGCCTGCCAATGCCCTCCTGGCCAAATGTGGCCAAAGCACCCTCATATTCTGCTCATGTCAATAGGCATTGTAATGCCTGTGGCTTGTTTTTACTTTATATTGCAGCAAGGAATTTAATATATTTTGTACACCAAACTGCTAGCAAAAAATATAGTTGCAAAGTAAGTTAACATTTAATTTATTAACTTTTCTTGTACTTTTTTACTAGGCAAACTTTGCCAAGCCAACTACACTCCACTCATCTCCAGTGAACATGAGGGGAAACTAATAGAGCAATCTGATTGCCTGGAATAACCCAGCCAATCTCTTTGGCTATTCACTGACAAAGCAGGGGATTGTAAATTCCTGTTATCGCTTAACAGGGCCGCCGGGTGGCAACCATGACGGTTGTCATGGGTCCGGCGGTCCTTGGGGGCCCAGACTGCTCCAGTAATCCTCCGCATGCCTGGACCCTCTGCTCTCACTGTACACACAATGCATTCACTATACACACAATACATCCACCACACACACACTCTATCCACTACACAAACACACTCTGCATCTAATACACACAAACATACAATCTGCAATCACTATGAATACCGCATCCACTTTACTCACCCATTTTGCATCCGATACACACATTCTACAGCCACTATACACACATTAAATTCAGTACACACACACTTCATCCTTCTGGGTGGAATCAGTATGGGCCCTGTGAATGGATTTGGCGCCGGGCCATGTGGGCGGACTCGACAGCGGGTCATGTAAGAGGGCTCAGGGTTGGGCCCCAGGTGACCCTACCATGGCTGCATTCAGGGCCCCTAAAAAGCCAACATCTAACAATATTGCTGGATATTCAGCTTTTACTAAATAACTCTGCAGGCTTCACAGGAAAAGAATCAGTTTATGATTCGCATAATTGTCTGCCACATTTCTGGCAAGGAAAAGAGTCAGAGACAATTCCCCAGATAAAAATAAACAGACATATCTTGTGTGCAATTATTTTACAACAACAGATAAAACCAGATCTGGGCTAGGGAGCAATTGCTTGACTATTTCTTACATGTCATAAGCAAGTTTGCAATACCTGTTATATAATAAAACATGCTGCAGATATTATTTAAATATTCAAGCTTCTCTGGGGAAGTATACAGCACTCTGGAAATTGGAAGAACTGTAAAACATGTTAATCAGAAAAACCTGTTTAAAATAATCCAATCGGAATAAAATGTACTGGCATATGTTTCGCATCTTCTAATTCACGTTTTATCTCACATTATGTTGAAAGTATGTTAATACTTTAGGTCATGTTTTAAACAAACATGGATTTAAATATTCTAGAAATATCATTGCTTCTGGTTTCTGTAATTTTTTTTATACAATCAAGGTACCAAAACAGTTTTTTTTGTTTTTGTTTTTTTAAAGTAAATTACAAAAAAAGAAAAAACATAGAAGTGTAGACAAGTTAGGAAAACCACTTTAAAGAGTTTGAATAGCTTTAAAATTATATATATATATAATTATAATTGCAGTTAAAAAGAAGATAAAAGGGAGAAGTATAGAAAAGTTAAAAAGAATAAAAGGCCATCAGTGCTCCCATCCAAACCCGCAGGAATTGTAGGTCGGTTTAAGATGAATTACTTTTGTTACAGTCTAGATCAGGCATAGATGCTCTAGATGTTTTGGACTACATCTCCCATGATGCTTTTCCAGCATTATGGGTGTAATAGCATTATGGGGAATGTAGTCCACAACATCTGGAGTGGCAAAGTTAGTCTATCCCTGGTCTATATCATTAGTTTTAAAGAGCAGTTATACCCAATCCCTGTGACAAATAGTGAATCCAAATCTAGACCACAGTCATTTTTGGTCTTTATTTAAAATGTTGCCATAGAAGCTACAAGGGAGATTTATCAGTGTTTTGTTCAAAAATGTGTTGTAAGTACTAAAAGAGAGTCAGTCGATGGAAACCAGTGGAACCAGCAGTCACATTCCATTGGGGGCTCCTACCCTTTACATTTTTTTCATCACTTTTTTAGAACAGAACACTTCAATGAATCTACCCCAGGACGTTTTAAATGTTGAGAGTTGTTTAAGTGATACTGTATTTGCAATGCATAGAACAAGAACAGTGTCATTAGATCTCCATTAATAATGGTGCTGAGTAAACGAGCATTACTAGAATTAAGATGAAGGTCAATGTATGGGTTATTGAAAGGACACTATAGGCACCCACACCACTTAATCTCACTGAAGTGGTCTGGGTACCAGATAGCTGCTAGAGATGCTTGACTCCGTGAAATGACACTGGACATTCTCATGCCCTGCATGATGACGTCCAGTGTCAAAGAAACCCCATAGGAAATAATTGAGGCAATGCTTTCCTATGAGTAAGGCCTAATGCGCACTCAGGGTTCGCCGCGCATGTGCATTAGGTTCCCCCATCAGATGATGTCAGGGACACCGGTACTGGAATTTGTTAAGTGATACATTTTTTTTAACCTTTTATGTGCCGAAGGGGGGGGGGGGTGGAGGGATTTGGGGACCAGAGGGCACTATAGTGTTAGGAATAGAACTTTGTATTCCTAAAACTATCATTTTTCTTTAAGTGTTAGAGGGGACTTTCACTTTGATTAGTGGTACCTTCCTTCAAGATGCCGTGGACTACAACATCCACCAGTTCTTCAACTGGCTTATAAAGTGCAACTCATTAGATAACCCACAGTGGGCAAACATGACGATTTAGGATATGGCTTGGAAATGCTGTGTTTGCAACAAATTCTGGATGATAAGGAGGCAGACATTGTAATGTTATGCTAATTGTTTTTATGCACCACAGGGGTAAAATATTTGCTATTTGTGTCTTTCACAGGTCAATCTCTGTATATGAATCATTCTTTACTACCAGTGAGAGAGCATAGTGTGGAGATGCAGTCTCCAAGGATACCTGGAAGGAAGCGAGGACGGCCCCCTCTTCATTCCAATCCTCTAAAGATGGCTGTTCACAATCTCTATTCTGGGTCAGCAGGGGCCATCCCAACTGTAAAAATTCCAAAGAAGAGGGGCAGGAAGCCAGGTTTTAAGGTATTGAGTATTGCTTCTACTCACCTGTAGTTTCCATTTCTCATTCTGTGCAGTCGTAATTGATACAGTATTCGTTTTTTGCATACTCCTCAGTGCAGCACATCAGGTACTTAAAGAGAACCGGACAATTTCAGATATTTTGGAAATTGTGAAAAACAGCGAACCAACTCCTGTGCTGGCATCTGAACGGTGGAAACAGTGAGAGGAAATGTTAATAGGTTGTCCAGACCTGCTGAGATTTAATAAAATAGATAAATAATATAAGAAATGTTTACTCTCGCATGTCATAGAGCTAAATGCTAATGTAAGAATGTCTAGCCTACAGACAAGAATCACATTTATTTATTTACTCAACCCACTAGAAATAAAAATACAGACTTTCAGTGCTTAAGAAAAAATCTTATTGAAATACCATGCCTACCAACAGCCCCAAATTTGGCAAGACAGTCACGATTTTTGGGTCCTGTCCCACTTAAGTTCCATGTTGTCGCACTTTTTGTGACATTAGGGAACTGTCCCCCCAGCATTCATAGATATGATTAGGGCCCTAGAACCCTGCAGGGAGGACTGATACTGTGCTTCCTGCAGGATCGGCCCTCTGTGGGCCGGCTTGCATGATGAGCAGGCAGCCTGCCATGCATTCTCTTGTACAAATTCACGTCAGGATGACATGCCAGTAACGCAGTAGGATAGACTCTCTTTCCAGACGGGCTCACGTCTTTGAGGACAGAGCGAGTGATGCAATGTTGTCTCTGGTACGCCCCCCTTTACCTCCCTCCGAAAGGTATGAAATTCTGAGGCATTTAACTGACGGTTAAGGGAGTAACTCTGTTTATCATTCATGATTTCATTAGCTATGTTCAGTAATGAGATATGATTATCCAAGATTTTAAAGTAACAAAATATTAGATTTATATATATCGGTCTAAACGTCGATGGATTGAACACAGAATCAGATGTTACTTTGAATACTTCATTAAACACGAGTAGAATTGGTTGCACCAAGGCAATATCTATTGATTTACTGGAAAGGAGAGTGCTGAGCTCTTTCTACATATATTGCAAGGTGTCCGAGAAAGCTAATTTTACAGTTGGTCTGAGTAAGAGACATTCTTGTGTTGTTTTCCACTAAAAATCATAAAATAAAAACCCACAAGTAAATATAACTTGTCCCATTTACCTGCCCCATCCAACCTCTCCACTTCCTCCCCACATGTAACATATAGCTGTCTTGGAAAGTATTTCATTGGAGTAAAGTTAGATATTCATGCCAGGTTTTGTACATCCCCAAAACTGGGTCAGAGTGAGATGACCAAGAGACGGTCAGAAGGACTTCAACTTAAAACCATGGTGTAACTAAGAAAAATCATTAGGATCCCCATCTACCCAACATCCCACTTAGTGTAAAACATGGAAGCCAAACCCTTTCATGTTGGTGAGAGATAGGTTGTTAGGGGTTACACCCCCACCTCCACCTCTGCGGAGAACCAAGCCATATTCTCCAGAGCTGCCTTAATCCATGATTGGAAAATAATGTCCAGAGTTGGCATATAGAATATGCACATTTGGAGAAATTTGGATTTTTAGATATTTTTATATACATAACGTAAGGCTGCATAGTTACTCTGCTTTTAATGTCAATTAATATGCAGATATTAAAAGGATAGCCTATTGTACATTTCAGGACAGAGTTTATATGTAAGAAATGATTTGGTTCATGGCTATTTTAGATAGTGAATCTGTAGTCTAACAGGAAGCAGCAACTTCCTTTATTCAACTTTTGTTTTTAAATAGGCCCTTGTCATAATGTTTAGAGACAATTACTTTGACTCAATGTATTTTAACTAACTTAGACTAGCTCTTGTAAGTTGTAACACATTTGACAGTAATTTTAGGATATAGAGCCATAAAACTTAGCAAACATCAATCAGTCTTGTGTAAGTCAGTTGGATATGAGGTTTGACATATGTGAAGATCACTGCTAGTTGGGAGCACAATGCAAATACAATAACTCACCTTATGTACAAGACTACACAGATTTATTGTGTGTTCTCACTCTATGATCTGGGTGGACTTATTTGGGTTTTGGTGGGTCTAAAAAACCCTGAAATCACTGGATAAGACCTGAAGAATTATAAGGTATTATGTAACTGAATTACTAATTTCAATTATCAATAATTACATCTTAATTGATCATGAAAAGATTGATTTAGATGTTCCCTTTATGGCACGAGAAAAAAAAAAGTATATGAAAGAGCTACTCATTAAAGGACCACTATAGTGCCAGGAAAACATACTCGTTTTCCTGGCACTATAGTGCGCTGAGGGTGCCCTCACCCTCAGGGTCCCCCTCCTGCCTGACTCTGGGGGGTGGAAGGGGTTAAGCTTACCTCTTTCTCCAGCGCCGGACGGGGAGCTCTCCTCCTCCTCTCCGCCTCCTCTCCTCCTCTTCGGCTGAATGCGCATGCGCGGCAAGAGCCGCGCGCATTCAGCCAGTCCATAGGAAAGCATTCACAATGCTTTCCTATGCACGCAAGCGTCTTCTCACTGTGAAAATCACAGTGAGAAGCGCGGAAGCCCTCTAGCGGCTGTCAATGAGACAGCCACTAGAGGCTGGATTAACCCATAGGTAAACAGGTAAACTGCTATGTTTACAGAAAAAAGGGTTAATCCTATCTGGACCTGGCACCCAGACCACTTCATTAAGCTGAAGTGGTCTGGGTGCCTATAGTGGTCCTTTAACACCGATGTGTAACTGTACTAGAGGTACCAAATTT